AAACATTTACAAATTTAGGAAATTTGCTTGCAGCACTCGCAGAACTGTATAACCTTGCAGGCTATCCTGAGGCGTCGTGCCTGTGACCGACTGCCAACAATGGTTCATTGTTCAATGGGAGCGGCCTCAAGGTCTTGTGTCTTTGCTGTGACTGTCCCCAAGCGATGACCTTAAACCGCTGGACCGAACCGCACACACACACACACACACACGCGATCCCACGCGCGTGTCCAACCAATCGCAGTTCCTTAAGAGCCACTTAGGCGCGCCACGCAGTAGGTGACCTCAATTCGCGACACCCTTCGAGTAATCCACCCATCAATCATGCAACACTTGAACTTGCTTGACAGTCACTTATAAGCAACTGTCACACCTCAGACAGTGATTTGAAACACGGCCTAACAGAGACTTGCAGACACTGTCAAGCGTGTTATTATGCAAATAATTTCATTGAATTGTGGTATGGCGAAACAGGTTGACTTGCCAACCAACAGACTCGTGATAACTGGTGAACACGAGAGGGAGGGGGGGAGGTCAAATGCAAAGGAATGATAGCTTGAAGGGGTTTCTGATGTCTTGTTTATGTGAGTACGGTAGGTTAGCTCCCTTCACTGCAAACGAACGTTTTTCGCTGCTGTATGCCTGCCTGGAAATCTGACTCAATGTGCTGAAGTCTCCATTTACTTTATTTTGCAGGGCACTGTGTTTCAAGGCCTCTTGGATTATAAACGTTCTGCACACGGGTTTCGGCTTCCCTGAGGACTACGACGACCTACAGCCGGTAGAACGTCTCAAGGACATCGAGGTTCAGTGGAGTTTGGGAGCCCTCATCTACTACATGACTCAGTACGTGCACTTTTTTGTCCCTCTTGGTCTGTGCTACTTATATGTGTGTTTCTTCTCCTCGGTATCCACAGGGCACATCCTGTGGACGTCACAGCGTTAAAACTCTGCCACTGAAACAAAAACAAACAATCACTAGGTCCACAAGCCCATGGAGTCACTTCGAGATCTAATCGTATTCAAATCAGACCTACAGTTCTGCGAATCCTGCAAATAACTTTCAGGATGAAATTTAACTTGGTAGTTTAGCGTATATCTGGACAGGTTATTTTGATCAACTGCGTGGATTTAATAAAAAGAAGGGCTTTGGTTTGGAAAACTGCCCTCTTATATAAAGTTATTGGGGCAAATAGGCTCTCATTTTTGCTAAATCATGAGTATGTT